TTGACTAATATGCTAACCTTCAATTTTCTCGAAACAACAAAAAATGGACTTGCGCCACTTTTAAAATAAACGGTCCATTTTTCCATTTAATTTTGAGACTGAATGTACGCTCTGATTACCCGCTGTAACAGTTTTATCTTTTATTATCGAAGCAATTATATAGGGTTCAATCTTAACACGTTAAGTGCCATGCGTACTTTGTTTACTTCTCCGTTCGATACAGTTTTGCGGTAAGAAAAACGCAAGATCAGAGTACGATTACATCCCAGCATTCCAAGTCAGAAAATTTTGTGAAAATTGTTACGAAGAAAATAGGACACTGCTGGGAAGAAATATTAGTAAAAACTAGTGACTGAGAACCATATTTTTGCCTAAACTGTTTTAATAAAATCCATTAAAATTATCATTGCATTATTAATAACTGTTAACAATAAAAGCAATATTCGGCTACCTAAATTTCTCTCTGTAATCTTACAGTTCTTCAATTTTTAATATACCTGTCTCACCAATGACACGGCATTTAACGTGTTAATGAAGTATATATACTCGATAGTTTTTCGAAGAAAACGAACGAAAGAAGCTCGATTCTCAGCTCCTCTCTTAAACGCGAATTTCTTTCTCGCTTGTTGACGTATTAGATGTCAACGTTGAAAGGCAGTGTGCTTTCACGCGTCTCGCTGTATTAAATATTAAAATGGCAGAGGATGAGGTCATCTTGAAGCGCCGACGATTCTACGCGATGAGTTCTTTGTTGTAATCTTATGAATATGTATGGAAACTTTCGTTTGCACGGCAACTGTGAATCTGGGTATGTGGAACAATCTTCCTTCCGAGATGGATCGGCAAATAGCTAGCTTCCTATTATGTAAACTCATAGCACGTATACGTGGGTGTTTTCTTTCATCAAAGGATACTTGAAATATAATGGCTGGCCGAGCTTTTACTCATTTCGTCCGACACGTTTTTTCTTCCCAAAACAGCAAGGAATAGTTTCATTGGGAAACTTTGAAGGTTTCCAAATTTTCTTTCCCTTCTATAAATTATTTGCTACAAATACAATTTGAATTCAAGTATATTAAGATAAAGGATGTTAAAAAAAAAAAAATAACCTACCAGTTTCAAATGACTTTTATCGTTAATAATACTATAGAGTATATAATTTTACTCGTATCGTATAACCATAAATAAGCGTGTATATCTGTGAATATACTTGTATTTTTTCGTTTACGTTTATTGTATTATAAATTTCAAGAGACCCATAAAATGTGCAACGCTGGCCTGATATCTCGCGTGGAAGATTTCAGTTTCGCTTTCACTTTGACCAGGCACTACCCGATTCTTGTAATCACTCTGCCGTGATATTTCAATTATTATAAAATGCATTTATTACGAATCTGAACAATGCAATGTCGAAAAATTAATTGACGTAATTCAATTCTCGTAAGGCTCGTATCCCGTGAATTCTGTGAAATCTAGTAACTTTTGGTGCTGAAATAACAAATATCAATTTCACGCAACTCAATTATTACACATCTTGCGTGTAATCTCTTATATACTTGCTTAACTTGTTTTGCTCGCATATTTCATTCAGTAATTCTTACATTTCTCTATTGTGTACCAAGAAAAGGTGTGAAATTAGACCTTTCTAACCTAAATCTTTTGTGAATGCTAAGAACCAAATGATTTCTCAACGGTAGATTAATCGTATATCCCCGTAGTAATTTCACTTTGAAATAGTGGCCTACAAGTAGAATTATGATTTTCAGTCTTTTTAGTAATTTTAACAGATACATATTACGACAGATAATGTTGAGAAGCGTAACGGTACCGTAGAAGTCGAAGACTATTTGTCTTCCCTATTGTATCGCGGTGCGTTCCAAGAAACATTATACTTCAGGAACACTACGCTCTTAACCCACCAGGAAAGTTCTTGTGCACTTCCGTTTCTTTGTTGCTACGAGCACTCTCTTAGTAGAAATAATCCCGTATTAATTGACGCTTCGATACGGTACTTCGTTCGCAATGTTCTTTCTCCGAGCTCATTGTCATTGTTCGTTTATTCAATACGTGAGTTTTTACACGCAACGGCAGTTCTTTCTCGCGCGTCAACCAAGAAAGAACTCGATTAATATCAAGTATTGGAACGACAACGAAAACAGATACATCTGAATGGTTGGAAAAATCTGCAAGAGGTAACTTGAATTTAATTTCAAGTTCATAAAGCAACAAAATAATTCTCACTCAGAATCCCGATGACAGAAGTTGGAAACAATTATTTTGTGGACTAGGCTTTAATCATTTGTCGCTGCACGCGCGATGCTCTTTACATCGAAGAACAACAAGGCAGTCTTCCTCTCGATCGTATTCGAGTCACGAATGTAAACATAAAGTATGACAGGAACGATCAGGAAAACCAGCAGAGGAAAGAGCGAGCGCATAATTGTCCATGTCTCTTGGAAGAGAGAAACGTTCAACAAGTTTAACAATTACAACAGCCAATGTTTTTCCAGATGTTAATCGAGGTGAAACATTCACGTGGCCAGGACGACTGCCAGGTTGGAAGAAATCCAAAGATCCGGGCACGACCTTCGCTCGTTACGCGATCTACGCACGAGCGAATGCGTTTAACGATATTGCCACGAAACCTTGTTCTTGAAACACTTTCTCACAGGCGTCGCGAAATGGGACGAAAGAAGGGTACGAAGGTTCGACGACGAGAGTTAACCTTCGAAGCTAGTTTTTAGAGATTCTAATGCGTGCTATTAGATTATCACAGAAGACTTGCCGCATGATTGATGTTCTCTCTTTTGCAAAACAAGTTTAAAAAAAGTAGTGGAGTGTCTTCTCGAATTAAATTTGACTCTGTTTTATCTACAGTCGCATCAATCACTTGCGACTTGAAAATTAAATCTTTCAAACGAATCTAATTTATTATGAAGGTTAGAAAGTCTTAGAAACTGTATTAACTTTAGGACTTAGCTTATTTATCCTTGGATTGTCAGTCAGGGAAGGACTTGTGTTTGTCTATTCGCAGGGTATTTTCTACACTGGACAATAATATGTTCCACTGTCAATTGAATTTTGCACAAATATCACATTTTTTGAAAAATTCTCAATATACTAATATATAATATATATATTATATATAAAATATATATAAAAATATATATAAAAATTCTCAAATAATTACTTTTTTAAAGTCATTTCAGAAATAATTTATCTGTAAAATAACGAAATTGTATTATTATATATTTCATATAAGGATTCGATTAATTTATTTCCAATTAAATGATTTATTTGTTATTTGAATTTTTTGAAAAATTCTCAATATACTAATATATAATATATATATTATATATAAAATATATATAAAAATATATATAAAAATTCTCAAATAATTACTTTTTTAAAGTCATTTCAGAAATAATTTATCTGTAAAATAACGAAATTGTATTATTATATATTTCATATAAGGATTCGATTAATTTATTTCCAATTAAATGATTTATTTGTTATTTCGTAAAATATCTTTATCTGCCATTTGACTTTGATAGGAATAACTGGTATCTCGAGTTGGGGGATCTTCTTTGTTGAGAAGATACTGATAGATGAGTTTGATCATCATAGCCCGTTATGATCCTTGAAATTACAACTTGGTCGTGTCTCGGTAGAGAACGAGCAATTGTCTTCTTAAAAAGTTCACTTTTCATTATTATTAGCCACATGAGGATTTTTACGTGCGTTTCCATTTGTTGTTCCAGTTTCCATTGATTTTCTTTTCTGAGTTTTACGGCAAGCTGTCGATGTAATGCCGAAGGTCAGTAAATTGTCTTTGACTCTCTCGTTTCGCAAGGAACGCTGAAAAAAGTTGAAAGAACGTAAAGAAAAATTTCGTAAGGCGGGAAAAACTTTAGAGACAGGGGAAGAGAGAATGCTGAAAGGCCAGATTTACGTTCAGTTATTAACACGGAAGTGAACAGTTTCATTGTCAAACGCACTCCACCAACGATATATACCGTTAATACAGAGCGGCGCATAAATCGCAGTCGATGTGCATAACGATCGATCGCGTGTCGTGTGGACGTTTATCAAGATGCACGAATTCGCGTGTACGCGGCCAACCGAGACGAACGACAATCACTGCCCGGGAACCGCTCCTTGCAGATCCTCCTCGAGCCTTCGGGACAAGAAAAATCCAGATCATTGAGAGAGACATCGAAACTGCGGTTTCGTCGGAAAAATCCTTGAAACTTCGAAGATCTTCACTGATATATCATTATATATTATATTAAATAAGATTTCTTGTTTCGGTTTGTGAAAAAAATTAGAACACACCCGGGAATCTTTGAAAGAGCAATCCTTTAATACGAAGCTGTCGAGCATCCATAGAAATAGAAGGAGATAGAAAAGAAAAAAATTATAAGGCGAACTATTACTTGCATAGAATACGATAGCTCTCGAAGCGAAGGAAATTCGTTCTCTCTTTTTCTTTTTAGAAGTTGTGAACCTCAAGCGTCGAGCACACGAGGCTTTGAAAACTATTTTGAGAAATTCTTCCTCTCTCCTCGATACGAATGATATCCGTTTTTATACTTACTTATCAACCGCGCGTTAAAGTGAGGAAGATTTTATAATTTTCTAAGAAAGAAAATGATAGATCAGATGCCCAAATGAGTCTCGAATCTTCACAAATCGCTGCCCGACTTGAGCAGCGTTACACCGCGTTAGACCAAGGTGTTCGCTCGGTGGTTAGGTGGGGATGAAGGCCACGTACTGCTTCTGCAAACGCCTCGACGATGTACACCTAGACCTACAAAACGAGATAACTCGCGGCGATCTACCCGCGCGGTGACTCGTTGTACTCGCGAGGACGGCGACCAGCTGACGACACCGAGAGTCGAAAACACTTTACTCGCGTCAGATGCAACTTCAACAAAATGGAGATAGTGAGAGTTAGTAGTTTTTAATTAATCGTGGCGGAACTGGTGAGCTCGATGGCGCGAGGAAATTGCCACGTTTCAAGGATCAGTTTTGTGCGTTCGATCGTTTGAAATTGATCGTGGTGAAATTATTCGTTGCAAAGATGCAGAAGATCCAACGTATCGGGAAATAAATGTTTGAAGCTTCTTGAATGCTTCAGAATGCCATCCGATGAACAGAGAAACTCTCAGGTATCAGAACGAAGAAGTATCGAGTAAGGAGAGCTTTATAAAAAGCTTCACTTGGAGAAGAGTAGTAGCAAAGGATTGGGAACACGTCGGGATGCAACTTTCGTTGCCAGTGAGGCATATTTTAACGATTCGCACGATGTCAGAGATTTCAACGTTAAAGTTAGTATCGCGAGAAAACGCCGTTTGACAACAGACTCGAAGGAACGCTGAGAATCCGCAGAGGGAAGAAATCGCAGAGAGGGAAAAGCGGTCGGGTCAGGTATGGTGGACGCTTCATTGCAATCCTCTTACGCTGTATATTAGTGGGATCGATATTTTCAAAGCTACCAACAATTCCAATGCGAGAAACTCACTCGCTTCACCAGCACAACGACGTAACAACGACTAATTGCTAAACTCAACAGCTTTCTAGTAGCTTCAACAAATATCTTCTAACAGCTTGCTTTTTGAAAAATAATTTCTGCCACCAGTCTCTCTCTCTCTCTCTCTCTCTCTCTCTCGCCTGTGAATAATCTTTTTAACATAGATCGTTAAATTAAAAAAGGGCTGCACTAGGCAACCTACACCTACCTATAGTGCGAAAGTCCCAGTTCGGCCGATTATTTCAGTGTGTTGAAGCAGCCTGGTCGTGTCTGTTCCAGGTGGTTTCGCCGTAGGCAGCCGCGAGAGATGTGGTCGCGCACGCGATTCTTGCTGCTGGCGTGGACGATCGTGTTGTTGGCTGGTGCACGGCTGAGCAACGGATCGCAGAGGCCGCGTCTCGGCGGCGCCGTCAACATCTTCAGCCGTTACGGCTACCTCAGCATCAGCATGAGAGTGGTCCCCAGAAACGACACGGACACGTGGATCTTCCGAGAGCCGACGTTAGACGTTTTCAGGAATCCGACACCCGTGGTCGTTAAACAACGGCAACAGGCGGCCGTGTTCGACGGGGACTTCCACATGGAGTTCTGCGACAACGTCCGCCAACTTTTGCAAGCCTATTTCCGGGACTTCACGTTCGAGCGGCTGGAGAGACCGTGGCGAGCTTTCAGCGCCAGCTGGTCCAAAGCGGCCATTGCTCGTCATTTGGGCATCAACTCGTCGTTCATCACCGGTGAACATTGTTACGTGCTGGTGCGCGTCGCCAGGTTCCGCGAGAATCAGAAACTGGCCAGCACCGCGGATTCGATGATTCTGGACGAGGCCGTGCTCCGGGAAACGGAGAACGTCACGGTTGGAGATACCGCCAGCGTGGTTCGATTCATCAAACACTTCGGATCGCACTACATCGCTGCTTATGTCACTGGCAACTCTTTGTATCAGGTAAAAAAGTCAGGAGAGTCCTCGGATTAATTGTAATTAATCGTAATTAATAATTATTGTTACGAAATTTTGCAGAAGTCTCCCTTAGGATGGAGTATTTTTCAAAAGTATTCTCCTGTGAAGGAAATCCCTACGCGTGTAACAAATATTTGAATCCTCGTATATCTCTTTTTAAACGCTTGTGCAAGAGCACATTGATTTATGGGTGCATAAAATTTATTGCCTCGAGCTTCGCTTCTGAGAATCAATTTGAATCTCCAACTAGTATCATCAAACCATCTCCACTCACGCCACGGTTACAAAACATTACCAAAGAAATCTTGTTTCAACAACCAATTGCTTCTCCTACGTTAAAACTGTAGTCTGGAAAAGTATGGACTAATCAACAATACGTTTTTTGTATCTCTGTTTTGCCAACGTACGAATCTTAAACATCGATCTAAATAGTTTGTAAATATAATAGTAACGACCGATTATCCCGACGACCACCCAGAACAAGCATCAGCATAAATGATTATCGTTGACTCGTTGATGCTTATTTAATTACAATCGTAAATCACGCACGTCTCGTACAGGATGCGATACGAAATAGATGCAGGAAGATGATGGCTCCTTGTGCAAAAATAGATCAAACGAGTGAAATAAACATACCAACGGAGAATTTTTGCCTCTGACCTGTCTAATTATTTCGAAAACATCTGTTCCAAGGTGTTCGTGTACACGCAACAAGCATACCTGCGCATCAAAGAGCGGCTGAAGACCCGCGGCGTGGCCGATTTATCGAACATCGAGTTGAGCAACTATTTCTCACCGTGGTACGCGGAGCACATGGGCTCGATACAAGCAGCAAGCGGAAATCGCACCGTCGAGGCCTGGGCGGTGGAACGGCTTCGAAACCAATACTACATTTTCTCGTACGCCAGCTTGCTGAAATTACACGGTGACGGGATGCTGCTGAAGCAACTGGACAATTTATTGGAGAACGAGGCGTTGTTACAGCTTCAGCTGAAGACGCTCGCGCCGATCTTCAAAGATCGTCAACGGCGCGAGTGGTTCCTCGAGGTGATCGACAATTACTTTAAGTTATGGGAGGTGAACATGTGAAGCGAAAGAGACGAGACCATGTCCCGAGAGAAGAACATTGGTACACATCCGTTTTATATATTCCCGTAATATTACGTACGTGGTATGATCTACACGTGGAAGACCACGGTACACGCGTACGTGTCTAATTTAGAAAACGACGACCGATGGAACGACCATTCGTCGTTGCAGAACGGTTACTAATGATTCGAAAGTCGTTAGTCACGGTCCGCTGGAAGTTCACTATTGTTTCTCCGTCAAACGGACGCTAGGATTTAATAGAGAAACGCCCAACTGCTATTACATTGTTATTAAATAAGTATTTATTATTATAATTGACGATAGAAAACATTTTTATACAAACGTTTTAAATATATATGTATATGTATATGTATATGTATATGTATATCACAAGCAATTTTCGTAAAAGTGACTGAAAAAGGGGCGACGTTCTGCTTCCACGTTTGCCATTTCGCTTTTGATACCGGTTTAATAATTGTTGTGTCTGTAACATTCTTGTTTAAGCTCGTCAAGAGAGTTGCGGTAAACGCAGAAACAGAATTCGTCGCTTTTTTTTTTTCTTCTTTCTCGCGTTGAGTTTCTTCTCGAGTCTGTTCAAACTTTGATGAACCGATACTTTTAAAAAATAAATCTGCGCATTTTATTGATTTTATTCCTATAAAACTTATGCTACTTCTTTTCTTCCTTTTTTTTTTTTTTTTTTTTAATCGAAATGAATCGATGTGAATATTCGAGTATAAAAGAACGATCAATATGTTACGTACGAACGAACAAGTCACTTTATTGGCACGATGAAACGATTGATGAATAGAATTTTGTAGGAAAAGTCAGTTTATTCGATCTTGGTAAGCATTCGATATTATTATATCTTATTTTTATGTTTCTTTTGACTTTTCTCGTAAACAGTGTTATAACAATAAACATAATAAAAAATGCAAAACAAGTTCATCAAAAAATTTATAAATGTTCAAATGTTTTTTAAAAGAAAAATCATTTGAAAATTAAAAGATACACAAATACAGTAGGTGTATTATAAGAATCAGTATTTTTATATAAAATTTAATTATATTATATATTCTATAACTGATTTTTGAAGAATGATCTTAAAAAAACGCGTAGTTACTCGTTTTTATAAAATTTTGTACGTACACTGTATTTCTAGTTATCCCTAAGTAGATCCCTAAGGTTCCTATTGCTCATTAGATCGCACTTAAGGGTACATTTTATTCTAAAAGATACAGCCATTTAAATCAACTACTTTCTCCAATGTACGTACAAAATTTCGTATGAATCGATGAATTTGAATTATTTAAGCTTCTCCACAAATTAACATATCTCGAAAAAATATAACAATACTTATATAACGTGAATTGGTTTTGTGTTGAAAACCAATTGTTTTTTTTTTCTTTCTTCTTTTTTATAAATTTCGTCATTCTCATTTCGTACGACATTCTTCTAAAGAACCGTGTAATAATTATAAATGGATAATCCATCTTCAGAAATATTGACTGTGGTAAGATTATTCTGTTAATATTTCATTAATATACTTAAATTCGAACTTTATGTATCACATTGCCTATCAATTGTAATATTGATTTTAATTCGAGAGGAAAGGAAATCTCGTTACTAACTACGTTTCGCTATACATTCGTAAGCATACACTTGTGCATTGATTTCAATGGGTTTTTTTAAAGGTGTGCAATTTTGCACATGCTTGTTGTTCTCTACCTAACTTTCTTCCATTAACAACCAATATAACTGGAGTTTCGACGCGTATAGATTTGAAGTCAAAATCCTGAAAAAGTATATACTAGATATAATCGTTAATTTTAAAACAATCATATATACCAGTATAATAATACTAACGTTATTGAGATAAGAGAACTTTCGATGAATCACAAATGGTTCAGGTATAGCAACAGAATCTCCTATGGTAACTCCACGACCTTTAGCAAGATTATATACTGTTACAGCAATACACGTTTTCTCCTCATCAACGAGACAAAAGGCGCTAAATTATATTGGATATGTATTAATCATCGTTCACGGTTTTTTTATGACTTTTGAAACATGAAATGTAGACTTACAAAGGTACACAATCGGTGTCTTGTATCCAACATACTACTTTCCCAAATATAACTTTCTCTGGATTTAGCCCAAGGGCTAAGTCTTTCAGTAATACTAAATCTAATTTTATAGTTTTCTGGCCGGACGTGAAAGAGCCATCTTTGTATGGTCCCAAATGTTTAACATCCAATGCCTACATTTAATCAGAAACCTATAAATATGTATAGGTACGAGCATCATGTATTAAGTTTGTAGAGTTTTATAAAATGAAACTCATCTTAAAACCACATTCTGACTAGAAAAATAAATATATCGTTTAAAAAAATGAAGATACCCTTATCATTTGGTATAATCTCTTCGGTTTCATTTTTCCATTATTGTTTACTGAATTTTGTACATCTTTCAAATATTGTAACAATTCGTCCCTTTTGTTACGTGGTGTTTCCCACACCGGATCCAGTAGTATTGCTCTCTCAAAAGATTTCAATGCTAAACTATATTCCTCTTGATACTTTAAGGCCTATTGTTGTAATACGTTTGCATGAATGCAAAGAATTAAAATGCATCGATATTGTATTGGAAATAATAAAATGCTTACCACTGCCTTATTGTGAAATAAATCAGGGTTACTTCCTGCTACGATGTCTTTTTCCTAAAACAATATCAATACGTTTACTGCTGGTGAAGAATGAAACTCGAAGACTGTTGCGATATAACTTACTGCTTGTGCATAAGCTGACATACAGAGTCGTAAAGTCGCGGGATTTTGTGCTATTGTAAAGAAGGAAGACAAATAAGCATTTCCTAAAATTGCCCAAGAAATACCATCTGACGTATCAAGACTGACGGCTTCCTTAGCATATTCCACTCCTTTCTGTATATTTTGTATTCGTTGTTCAACATCAGGCACTGGTTCTTGTCTGAGTACCATTGATAAATTTCTCAAAGATACTTTATTCCTACCCTATAATATTGGTTATTGTATCTTAGTTATACGATATATAACGAGAAAGTAGATAACAGTGAGAAAAGAAATTTTACATGGCGTAGAGCTCCAACGAAACAATTTTTTGCTTGTTGAATATCGTCATTTTTCCAATAACATTCTCCTAGTTCATTCCATGCTTCTACTAAGTTAGGTTCCAACTTTACTGCCTTTGTCAGTAACTCTTCCGCTTGAGGTATAAAACGTTCTGTGACATTTAGAGCTTTCCCTTTTAGATAGTAATATTTCGCCCGTGATCCATCGATTTCGTATCCCTTGCACTCATCGAGTTTACTTAAAGTATCTTTCATCTTTTTTTCTACGTCGCCGTTCTTTTTAATAGCTTCCTCGATAGAGTGATTTTCAAAATAATGATCTCGAAAAAAATATAACGCATTTACTTTTTCCTAGAATAAATAAACAAAACAATAGATATGGAGACCAGTTTCGCAAAATTCAACGAAAACGAAGAAATATAGGTTAGGTTTACACATCAATGAAACGACATAAGAAAATGAATCGATTATGCAAGTTTACACCGTTATTAAAACGGTGTGTATACCGTTAATGCTACAATGGGATCCTCTTTAACAGTGTTCGAGGATTTCGCTCCTGCAACCACTTTATCATCTATTATTGCGGACATTTTTCAAAATACTTTCGTAAACTGCCTATCACAGTAATTTCATTGTGCGTCAGATACACGTGGAGCTTTTGCTTTTATACATAATTTACATATATTATATACATGCGTTATAACGTTCGAACGATGCGTTAGAATTAATCATTCGGAAGCTGTGAAGATCTCAACGATCCGAGGAGGTTATGTTATAAGTCGTAACTACTTATGCAAACTGTTACATATAAAGTACTGTCCACAATAAAATTAAAGCTACTCGTTATCAGATTGCTGATTCTCAACGAATGAGAACCATAACGAGAGCTATAATTATCAAAACCTATCAACGCGACAATTACGATGAAACTACAAAAGTTACAACAAAAATTGTTGGCAGTGCATGATTTTTCGCACGGTATTTACACATCAAGCTTCGTCCTCATACGTTTCTGTACATTAAATTTCATCGATATAGTTCCAACGTGTGCCGAGAGCGGCGCCACCGTCGCCCCTCCCACCGCCACTCGTCACGAGCATCGAGCGAGCTATCTAACTAGTGCAATCGCGTACTTTGTGACCGAAGCTTGCCCAGAAGGCTACATCGTCTCAGGATCGCCATTTTATGTGTTTGGCTCTGAGACTGGGACGGTGGGTGCGTGCGGTGCAAACTACAGAGCGTATTATCCGTGTACTATCCGCAAGATGTTACCCAAATACTTTGCGCCCGACATGTACGACAAGTAACGACAGGTGTCGGAGTGTGTGATCGGGCAGCGAAGGCTCGGGCCGAAATGGTCCCGGAATAGTGAATTGTGCGTGAGAGTGTTTTCATCGAGTAAAGTGCGTCGCGCACAGGCTTTCCACCAGTCTCGCTGTCACCAGTTTGTTTAAATACCTGTGCCACTCGGGAAGTTGGCTTTGGCTCAAATTACGGACGGCCTCTGGATTCCTTACGACCGCCCCCCGCCACCATCTACGATGAGTTCGCGCAACATACCCTCAGACAAGGTGAGTCTCTTGTCAGTTGTTCTAATATGTCTACCGCACCCTTCCGCCTCCTCTTTCTCCTTTATCCTTCGCTACCAACCCAGTCTCCGGCTCCCGTTCGATATCCCATCGTGCACTAACGTCTCACTCGGCCGTACCTTTGTTCACTAAGTCACGGCCATCCGACCATCAATGCGTAAAATTACAGCCGGATCAATGAGATGTCACCTCGCGCCTATCGGCCGCCTTTTTTCCCCCTGATTAAACAACGGATG